ATCCGTCTCCATTTGTACCAAAAGGACAAATTGGGGATGAGCTAGTGGCAAATGATTCTAGATACAAACCTGCCTTGGTCTCCCAAGTAGAATAGTGCAGATCCAGGCTTGACTACTAAACAATGACAAATGTCCTCAGATTGCCTTCTACACATTCAGGCACTGACAAGCAGCAAGCACTGTTTCAGACCCACGCTATCCACACAAAAGCCACCAGAGAGGGTTATGGCATATCTGAAGTACCTAACTGAATGGAGATGTGCTACGACCCTGAAAGACATGCCAGATTTAAGATATTTGGTGACAGGGAAAAGAAAAAAAAAAGGCAAATAGCTCATTCTACCAGTTGCACGGTCAAACCATCTGTCCTAGTATTCCTGTGTGCTAACCTCAATCTTCTCAATGTTTCCCAAACCAGTGAGCATGATCTGTGACTCTCTACCTGGGAGAGGATGTCCACCAGAGCCTTTATTGGCTGCCCCTGTAAGTGGTTGTGGTGATGGGACAGGATCTTCAGCAATCTCACGGACTTCATCAGGGCCTCTTTGTCCTGGTATCCAGAGAGCAGAGGTGAAGAGCAGAGCATGATACTGTCTGTTCCCCTCCACCCCTAAAACAGTCCCTGTGCCCAAAGCTCCTACCTTAACTAGGCGGCCCGACTGAAAGAGGGCTAGCACTCCAAACAGGTTTGCAAACAGAGTGGGTCTCATCATTGCCTAGAAAGATTTCAAACACAGGTGAAGAGGGTCCCTCCCATAGCTGTCGGGGGCAGGTAGTCTGTCTGGAACTACACGCACCTTGTTCGCTGATTGTAGACTGTATTTTTCTTGTATCTGACTCAGGATGTCACATAATGAGATGTCTTCAAAAGACTGCAACAGCTGACAGCAAAACCAAAAAGAGCTCAGGAAGTGGCTCGGGGACATCAAAGCAGACCGTGTCAACTTCCCAGCTTCAACTTTCCCCAATACAATCTTGGCCACTCCTCCCATCCGTCACAAGTGCTACGGATAGTCTGATGTTTTCAAGACACCAAATCTTACATAGCTGAGCCCCACCTCCATCAAGGCTTCAGAAAGCCTAGACTGCTTCTGTAGCTCTTGGAAAAACCCATCTTACCCACAGATCCTATTCTGAGTTCCCTTGGGGCTGACTCTACGGGTTAGACTTCATTGCTTTTTGTTTGTACAAATTTCTATGGGGCCCGTCATCAGCTGCCTTCCTAACCTCAAAGCTCACTACTTCCAGTAACTGTAGTTAATACACGTGTAGCTGATAAACGTGTATCAGAAAGAAAACGTGTTCAACTCTCCCACCTGCCTGGACTTTGTTGTAGATAGGCCATGTTTCGGCACTTCCTCCCAACCATGTAATGATTCCTGCATCCCCTCTGAAGCCTCTCGGATTTGATTTCTCCTTACCCAGCAGCTGCGGTGACCCCTTCCCTTAGACTCTACTCTTTGCCCAGCGAGATTGTGCCCTTGCCAGACGCACTGCCTCACCTGTGCCAGCGCCAGACTGTAGCAGGGCCTAGCAGCTTCTCGGCCCACCCCAAGCCCAGTAATTAGGCGCTTCAGGGCATATTTCATCTCCGAATCCTACGGAACCAAGAACATTACTCGTGTTCAACAGTGATCTGAGGGGCCCACCCCTGCCCCCTTGCATCTAGAGTCGCGACTGGGCCCAGGCTCCTCCATCATACACTCGGCCTTGTGCGCAAGTACTCCAACAACTTCTCCGTGGCCCGAAGCCGCGTTTCCTGCTCCGGCTTGGCGATGTCCCAGAAGAAGTCCAAGAACTCGCGGCTGTGCTCCAACAGGCTGCGGCGGTCGCCTTGCGGCGCTTCTGCGGTAGACGCAGGCTCAGCTTTCGCGGGGCTCTTCATCTCCGCCATGCTGAACCAAACACGTGGGATCGGAAGACAGTCTCTTCCAGGTCAGGTCCCGGCGCGTGCGCACTGGGACGTCAGATTAGGGGCGGGGCCTAGCAGGTTGGGCGTGGACCGCGTAGGTCTCGCCTTTCCGGTGTGGTCGTGGGTGGGGCAGCTTCCTCTGCTCACGCCTGTGTAGAGGCTGCTGCTTTGGTCCCTTACGCTGGCGGAGCTTCTGACGACCGGCATTGCAAACAAATCGACGAAAGAGCCGTAGTATGGTCTCTTCCCAGACCCGGGTCTGCTGATCCGTTCTGAGACACTGGTGCAGCAGCTATTCCGCTTCTACTGTGTGCATCGGAATAACGCCGCGGCTTCTGTGGACTTCCTTTTTAGTGGGAAGAGATGATTAATGAACAAGAAGCCATATACATTTAAAACAATAATTATGAGGAAAATAAGGAATGTAGGGAGCAGCCGGGCAGTGGTGGCGCACGCCTTTAATCCCAGCACTTGGGAGGCAGAGGCAGGCAGATTTCTGAGTTCGAGGCCAGCCTGGTCTACAGAGTGAGATCCAGGACAGCCAGGGCTACACAGAGAAACCCTGTCTCGAAAAACCAAAAAAAAAAAACAAAAACAAAAACAAAAAACCCAGGAATGTAGGGAGCAGAGGGGGCCCTTTGAATGTTAAAATACGTGAAAACATCACCTGTTAAAAATTAAGGAGAAAGGGCTGGTGAGATGGCTCAGTGGTTAAGAGCACTGACTGCTCTTCCAGAGGTCATGAGTTCAAATCCCAGCAACCACATGGTGGCTCACAACCATCTGTAATGATATCTGATACCTTCTTGTAGGGTGTCTGAAGACAGCTACAGTGTACTTATATATAATAAATAAATTAAAAAAAAATTTAAAAAAAAAAAAAAGAAAAGAAAAAAAAAATTAAGGAGAAAATTCAATAGATCTAAGATACTATTTAAGAGACCATGACAAGACCGTAACACTTGGGCTGACAGCTGAGGAACAAGATGGGCTCAATTGTCCCCCAAGGCAAAAATCTAACAGCAGGCAAAAGAACAGGCCAAGGACATTTCTTCTACAAAGGCCGCTCATCTCTTAAGGGAATGAGGTCAGTAAGAGGAGGAGGAGGATCCAGGTGCTGGGAAGCAAGGTTGTATAAGACACGGGGCCAGCCTCAAGAATTCAGACTTTTTCTGTGTGTGTAGGGAAGGGTTTACATCTGATGTATCTTAGATCAGCTGAGCTGGCATGGCCTGTGGCTGTAAGTACAGAAACAGTGGATTGTGCTGGAGCCAGACCTTGGCTAATCTAGAACTGGTCGAGGTGGGTGAGGACCTGGATCAAAGGAGGTGATTAGCTAGAAAGGACCAGGCTGGAGGCTAAAATAGTGGAATAGATGGTGGAATCACTGCAATTTGGGATGTTTTGTTTGAGAGAGAAGTGGAGATGGTACAATCAAGAGTTCTGCTAGCTTGGGTTTGGGGAGACGTATGATAGTAGAACACCAGCCAAGCATGTCAATGAATTTGATCCCCAGCCCAACAAAACAAAAAACAATTAGCTGAACGTGTTGGTGGTCCTGTAATCCCAGTGCCTGGGCCAGCCTGGATTACATAGGGAGACTTTGCCTTAAAAAACAAAATTATAAGCCAGGCGGTGGTGGCGCACACCTTTAATCCCAGCACTTGGGAGGCAGAGGCAGGCGGATTTCTGAGTTCGAGAGTTCGAGGCTAGCCTGGTCTACACAGTGAGTTCCAGGACAGCCAGGGCTACACAGAGAAACCCTGTCTCGAAAAACAAAACAAAACAAAACAAAAAAAAAAGGCTCTGGCAGTAGCGGTACACGCCTTTAATCCTAGCACTTGGGAGGCAGAGGCAGGTGGATTTCTGAGTTTGAGGCCAGCCTGATCTACAGAGTGAGTTCCAGAACAGCCAGGGCTACTCAGAGAAACCCTGTCTTGAAAAACAAAAAAACAAACAAAAAAATAGAGACCAGGGATATGGCACATTGGTTAAAAGCACTTACTACTATTGCAGAGGATCTAGGTTCAGTTCCCAGCACCCATCAGTTACAGCCGCTCACATCCCAGTTACAGGGGATCCGAAGCCGTCTTCTGACAGAAGATGCATGTGGTACATGTACATATATGTAGTCAACACATGCACACACACGTTAGATAAAAGCAACTTTTTTAATTAAAAAAATTAAACCCGGGCTGGAGAGATGGCTCAGCGGTTAAGAGCACTGACTGCTCTTCAAGAGGTCCTGAGTTCAATTCCCAACAACCACATGGTGGCTCACAACCATCCGTAATGAGATCTGGTGTGTCTGAAGACAGCGACAGTGTACCCACACATATGAAATAAATAAATAAATCTTTAAAAAAAAAATTAAACCCTCAAAACCTTAAATCAGAACTGCCTTTTTCTTTTCTTGGTTTTTCGAGACAGGGTTTCTCTGAGTAGCCCTGGCTGTCCTGGAACTCACTGTGTAGACCAGGCTAGCCTTGAACTCTCGAACTCAGAAATCCGCCTGCCTCTGCCTCCCAAGTGCTGGGATTAAAGGCGTGCGCCACCACCACCCAGCAGAACTGCCTTTTTCTTTGTCGGGTAGGGGAAGTGCTACTGGATGTCCCTGGCCTTGACCTGAGGAACTATGTCTCAAGGATCGTATCCAAGAGATGGCAGGGAAGGTCAGGGTCAACCCGGTTCCAGCTCTTCAGTACCCAGGGGCTCCTCCTACTCATTTTCCCAGCCCTTCTCTGCTCTGCCATTTGTTCTACACACGAAATGAAGAGATTTACCTTGCACAGATGGAACCCCAGAAAGCAGAAGGTGGCTGAAGCAGGGAAAGCTAAAAGAGACCAGGCTCCTCCCCCTGTGTCTGGTGTTTATCATCTGTGCTTCGAAGGTTAACAGGAAAGTTAACCAAAGAGCACGGATGTCACTTTGTCCCTGGGAGATTTGGACTTTATTAGCTTCCAGTCCAACTGATAAAGATCAGCAGGGAATGGTCCAGTGGAAGATGAAGCTGCCCACCCTGCCCTGAGACTAGGTAGGGGAGGTAACTCCCACTGGACTTTCTTGAAGGTGAGCTGCACTCAGGCCCTTTTCATCACCCTCTAGGTCTTTATTTGATAACAAAAGCCAGAAATTCCATCAGTGTGGGCACAGGAAACGTGGCTGGACCAGCCCTGGATGCCAGAGCTAGAACCAGGTAACAGAACAGGATGGAGGGTTGATGGAGCAGCAAACACATCACAGATACATTCCCTTCATACATTCATTGCTGCTAGGCCTTCTCTGTCCAGAACCTCTGTTCCAGACACCTCTGCCCCTCTGCTAATACCCTTGAAAGGGGCAGCAGCCACTGGGGACACTGGAGACATGGGCGTGTTCTGCATGGACTACCACCTGCAGTAGGGCCCCTTGGTCACATATGCCAGGGCTCTCTGTGGGTCTTTGTTGGGCTTGATGTTGGGGATGCTGCTGGATTTGAGGTGTTGCCAGATGATTGAGCAAGGTGCAAGTCATGGTTTTGGCCCCTCTGGGGATCCCTGAAGCCACTAGCCCCAACATATCAGCTTCTGTGTCATCTGAGTTGCTACGGAGAATGAGTGGACAGGCCCAGGCACTAGATGCAGAGCTGGCTTCCAGGTTGCTGAGCAGAACACCAGTACTTGGGGACAGATGTCCAGAACCAAAGGAGCTGTTGATTGAGGAGGTTAGAAGGAGCATGGAGCCATTGCTGTCCACGGTGGCCAAGGCACTGCTCACCGGGGTTTCGGCAGTTTGCAGCCGTGATGAGCAGGAAGCAGAGAAGGGTGTCTTGGAGTGAAGAGCAGACTCCAGCTGTTCCAGAAGTTCTGGGCCTGCTGAGGGACCAGGAGTAGTGAACAGGACACCCTGAGGCAGAAGAAGCTGCAGTGCAGGCTCTAAGGAAGGCCCAGGCTGAGCAGAGGGCAACTCTAACCCCAGGTCTCTGACCAGCAGGTTCAGCAAGGCATTCCCAGCAAGATCTGGGCTGGAGGCCAGAGCTGCACGACGCAATACAGCTGCCAGCTTAGGGTTGGAGGCTCGAGCCCCAAGACCCAGTGGAGTTCCATTGGTATGGCAGAACAGTGGACAGAGCCCCTTTGTGCCCTGGACTGCTAGTGCGCTTGCCAGGAGTGCATCTACCTCAAAGCCCTTTTGAGCCAGCATGGCAGGCTTGGCCAGCAGGTGTGGCCAGGGCAGGTGGCCGAAGTGGGCATGAAGCAAATGCAGGGCAGGCAGAGCTGTGGGCAGCCCCAGGCCGGGGGCCAGGATTTGGGTTGGGCCTGCTGTCAGGGCAGTTGAGTTTCCTGAGGAGCTATTGTAGAAAAGACCCCAGAACGTGGCACCTGTTGGGAGACAAAGAGACCACACAGGCATCAGAGGCACTGGCCAGAATTGGGGTCAGGATCTTCCAACAGTCCCAGGTGGAGAATCACTGTCTTGCTTGCAATAGAGGTCACTGACTAAGCCTGAAATCAAGAGTTACTAACCAGGGTCAAAGGTTACTCAAGACTAGGCCTGGTGCTCAGATCCTATGTCCTGTTCACTAGCTAGTCTTGAGGTAATGGATTGACTGCCCGAATGAGTTACAGGTTACTAACTAGGCCCAGGTTAGACGCTCTGAGGTTCAGGGCCCACAGATCACACTGACCTAGCCCTGTTGCATGAGGATGTACGACCGCCAGGCACAAAGCTGCTCCTACTCCGGCATCCACGACATTGCCCCCAGCGACAAGCAGCTCTTGGCCCAGTTGGGAACATGTGGCTGCGGTGAGGAAAGGTCTATGTGTGATGGGGAGGTGCCCTGGACCACTGGCCCCTAGCCCCTTCCCAAACACTGACCTGCAGGGCTGATAATGGCGCTGTGGTGGTACACACCAGGGTCATGGGAGTGTCTGCTGGCTGGAGGGGCCACAGAGCCCAAGTTTCCAAAAAGGCTGTTCCTACTGTACAGCTGCCTCAGAGCCAGGGAGCTGCTAAGAGCCAGTAGCAGCAGGCATGCCAGCAGGCGGGCCCAAGCTCCTGGCAACCCACCAACCTTGTTCCTGCAGAAAGGGGAGTCCTGAGCCAGAGATGGGGTAAAGGGGCACCCAAGGATCCCAAGAGGACCCAAGGAATGTGTCCTCCAAAGATTTGATTTTGCAAGAGTATAAATTGGCCAGAGAGAGAGAGAGAGAGAGAGAGAGAGAGAGAGAGAGAGAGAGAGAGAGAGAGAGAGAGAGAGAGATAGATTCCAGGACCAGGACACTGCATTGGCAAAGACACAAAGGTAGGAAAAAGTTGGAGAAACTGAGGCTGGCTTGGAAGGAGTGTCTACAGAAGACCTGGAGCAGGAGCCAGTCAGTCAGAGGGAGACCCGGAAGGGGCTTGGCACACAGAGAAAGGAGGTTGAGGAACAGGATTCAGCCAGGTGTACCAGGTCCCAACCTGTCCAGCAGGTGCTATGGCATGGGGCCAGGGTGAGGCTGGCAAAGCTGGGACAGGATAGGGACCAGCTTGATACAAATTCACTTCGGATACACAGACCTTTCTCTGACTGACTGGCTCAGTCCCAAGTTGGGTCTGCAGCCTAGAGCTCCCCTCCCCCCACTCATGTAGAAAGTCCCTGGGCCTCAGCCAAGTATGGGATTGCCTGACCCAGCTTAGGGGTTCCAGAGAGAGAACCTTGCCAGCCGTTCAGCCTGAGTTATGGGGTTCCCAGGCCCTTACTGACTCACCGGGGGGTATTTTGGAGTCTCCTTAGGGAGAGGACCAGTGGCTCTGCTATTTCTTCTTCTTCTTCTTCCTCTTCCTCTGACTCCATGCCAGGCTCCCAGAGTTGCAGCTTGTGGTAGTGTACAGCTTCTGTAGTGGCATCCATGGTCTGTGCTGCCCCAGATCTTTGCCGAGAGCCCTGACAGTTGAGACTGCCAGGTAGGCAGGCAAGTAGGCTGTGGCTGGTGCTGGGTGGCCTTGGGGAATAGAGGTGGTGAAACAGAGAACAGGTCTGGGCAGGGCGGGGCAGGGGAGGCTACTACGAGCCTGCCTTATTAGGACATGGGGTTCAATAAAGATTCCCCAAGCGGCTGCCATACAGGGGTCACAATTTATACAGGTCTAAGAGGGGTCCAACACTATAGCTATAGACTAAGGGGTGGGGTGAGTGGACCCTCTCTTTACCTACTCAGATCTCTAGGGACCATGGATATGAATTGAAACTATGGTTACAAAGGGTAGCCTGGGTGGTGGCTTAGCACCACCAACCAGGTTATATTGTCAGGGTGTGGCTTCCAGAAAGGGTCATGGTCCAATCTTAGGCTACTATGAGATCTTGAGAACAACTTGGGTGGTGAGGGCCACCCCTGGATGTGTCATGTGGCTTTTGTCCAGAAACTAGCATCAGAGACCTCTGTGGGGGAAACAGTCTGGAAAACATGGTTCCAACCTTCTCCCTGGAATTCACATCAAGGACCTGTTCCTGGGCAAAGCAGTGCTGTTTGCAACAGTCCCAAACTGGAAACTACGCAAACACCATTGTCAGGAAAAAACCCACAAGCCACTATTCAGTCAATGGGTATCTGCAGCAGAAAGAATGAGCAGTCTACAGTTATGAGTAATATTGTACATGAACCAGAGGGAGCATGGTGAGTAAAAGAGGCCAGGCAGGAAAGGGCACCCATTGTGTGTCTTAAGCAAGGCTCAGAACAAGGTAAATCCAGTTAGCTTTTAGAGTCAGAACATAGCTGGAGCTGGAGTACGGAATAGAGACAGGGATTTGGGAAGTCTTGTTTACCTGTCCTTCCTTCCTTCCTTCCTTCCTTCCTTCCTTCCTTCCTTCCTTCCTTCCCTCCCTCCCTCCCTCCCTCCCTCCCCCCCTCCCTCCCTTCCTTCCTTCCTTCCTTCCATCTTGTCTTTTTTTTTTCCTTTGAGACTGGTCTCTCTATAGAGCTGGCTGTCCTGGAACTCATCCTGTAGACCAGGCTGGCCTTCACCTCACAGAAATCCACCTGCCTCTGCCTCCCAGTCCTGGCATTAAAGGCGTGAGCCACCACACCTGGCTGTCTTATATCTCTCTCTTTTTTTAAAGTACTACTAATGTTTATTAGAAAAGATTTTTTTGAGTTTTTGTTTGTTTATTTGAGACAGGGTCTCACTATATATACTAAATAGGCCTTGAATTCAGAAATCTGTCTGCCTTTGTCTACTGAGTCCTGGGACTTAAGGTGTGTGCCAGTATGCCTGCCTTGAATTTTTTTATTACATTTCTTTTGTTTGTGTTTGTATATGTGTGGTATGTGGCACACAAGTGTCATGGCATGCATGTGGAAGTCAGAGGACAGCTTGTGGTAGCTGGTTTTCTGCTATCATCCGGATCCAGGGACCAAGCGTAAGTGGTCGGGCTTGACAATGAACACCCTCTATCCACTGAGCCATCTCAGTGGCCCTTTGTTTGTTTTGAGACAGGGTTTATGTAGCTCAGGCTGTCCTCCGAGAGGGTGTGTGTGAGTGAGGGAGTGTGGCCTTGAGCTTCTAATTCTCCTGCCTTCACCATCTCAGTGCTGAGATTATAGGTGAGCATCACCATGCCTGGCTTAATTAAAAGTTTAATATCAAAATGTGAATGACAAATGGAAAGTTAATATCAAAATGTCATAAGAAAGGAGAGGAGGTCCCTTAGAGAAGGGGCCTGGACCTTCCTATTAATTAGACAAACATTATTTGCATTTGTTACAGTGGTTTCTTTCTTCCTTTTTTTTTTTTTGAGACAGAGTTTCTCTATAGTAGCCTTGACTATCCTAAAACTCACTCTGTAGAACATGCTGGCCTCGAACGCAGACCCATCTGCCTCTGCTTCCTGAGTGCTGGGATCATAGGCATGTGCTGGCTCTGCCTGCTGACCTTGACAGCTTCTTACCTGTCACATTTTCACCTTGGAAGACTCTTTCATCCTGGTCATCAGCTTGGTGGACCCCCGGCTGATGTCTTTTAATAATGATGTTGGTTTCATGGATGTGCCCACTGTGAACACAAATCAAGTGGCACATTTATGAATACTTTTCTGCAGGTACTTTGTGTTTTATGAAAACCTCATTTGCTACACTAACATTGGCCATATCTCATAGAAGTTGAGAACAGAACAGAATAGTTGGTCAATAGGTGATGTTATAGCTAAGAAGGACCAAAAAGCTCCAGTGTGCTACCACACGGCAGGAAAACTATAGGTACCCTGTATATATCACTAATTATGTATGTGTGAATCATCTATTGTTTTAGTCAGTCTTTCTATGTAGCCCAGCCTGCTCTCTAACTTGAGATCCTCCTGCCTCAACTTCAGTGCTGGGATTACAGATGTGCAGGACTTCATTTCAAAACCAGTAGGATTTGAATGTTTTCATGACAAAGAGGTGGTAAATGTTTGAGGAGAGAATGATTTTTATCCTCATTTAAGCATTGTATAATACACACATGTATCCAAAACATTATATGATACCCCATTTATATAGTCTGTATGTATCTTACCGATAAAAGTAATTATTTTTGTTGTTGTTGTTGTTGTTTGTTTTTGTAGAGAGTGTAGCTCTGGCTGTCCTGAAACTTGCTCTATAGACCAGGCTGGCGTCAAACTCAGAGATTTCCAGACTGCCTCTGCTTCCCAAGTGCTGGGACTAAAAATGTGACACCATGCACCATGCTGGCAATAATAAAGTTTTTTTTTTTCCAATACAGGGTTTCTCTGTGTAAATTTGGCTGTCTTGGAACTCAGTCTGTAGACCAGGCTGATATGCACACAGAAATCCTCCTGCCTCTGCTTCCAGAATGCTGGAACTAAAGGCTTGCAACTCCACACCAGGCCAAGCATAAGTTAGTTTTTAAAATAATAAGTACAGGAGCTGGAGCGATGGCTTAGCACTTAAGAGCACTTGCTGCTCTTGATAATACGGGTTCAATTTCCAGCACCTAAATGGTGGCTCACAACTGTCATAACTTCATTTCCAGGGAATCTGATGCCTTCTTCTGGCATGCACTGCATGTGGCACATATACATACGCGCAGGCAAAATACTGATATACATGAAAATTTTTCTTTTAAAAGAGATGCTGCGTGCTGGAGAGATGACTCAGCAGTTAAGAGCACTGACTCTTCTTCCAGAGGACCTGAGTTCAGTTCCCAGCAACCACATGGTGGCTCACAACCATCTGCAATGGGGTCTGATGCCCTCTTTTGGTGTGTCTGAAGAGAGCAATGGTGAATACATAAAATAAAATAAAATAAAATAAAATAAAATAAAATAAAATAAAATAAAATAAAATAAAATAAATTTAAAAGAGATACTGGGTACAAGTCCCACATGCCTGCCATTGGGGCACTCAGACGCTCCTGGCAAGAGAATTACAAGATCAAAGCTAGCCCTGGCTGCTCAGTGAGACTCTTTTAAGAAACAAAACAAGGAGCCAGGCGGTGGTGGCGTACTTCTTTAATCCCAGCACTTGGGAGGCAGAGGCAGGCAGATCTCTGAGTTCCAGGCCAGCCTGGTCTACAGAGTGAGTTCCAGGACAGCCAGGGCTACACAGAGAAACCTTGTCTCGAAAAACCAAAACCAAAACCAAAACAAAAACCAAACAAAAAAACAAGAAACAAAACAAGGGACTCAGCAGTTAAGAACAGCCAAGAACATACACTGCTCTTCCAGAAAACCTGAATTCAGTTCCCAGCACTCATATCAGGCATCTTATATCTGCCTATAACTCCAGCTTTAGGGGATCAACACTCTCTCCCCTCCTCTCCTCTCCCCTCCTCTCCTCCCCTCTCCTCCCCTCCCCTCCCCTCCTCTCCTCTTTGTGCCTCTGAGGAACATGCATCTACCCACTTAAACCCATATACATGTACTGAAATACACATCTACACATCATTAAAAAGAAAAAGAAAAAAGAAAGCCAGGCGTGATGACCCATGCCTTTAATTCCAGCACTCAGGAGGCAGGCAGGTGGATCTCTGAGTTCAAAGCTGGCCTGGTCTACAGAATTCCAAGATGACCAGGGATACACAGGGAAATACTCAAAAATAAAAACAACAGAGAACAAACAAACAATCAAAAACAAGACAAACAGAGAGACAGAGGAAGGAAGGATGGAAGGAAGGAAGGAAGGAAGGAAGGAAGGAAGGAAGGAAGGAAGGAAGGAAGGAGCAAGCTTGGGAAGTCAAGCATGATGATGTAAGCATATAATCTCTGTACTGAGGAGGCAGAGGCAAGAGGATCAGGAGTTCAAGGTCAGCCTGTGCTCTGAAACATTGTCTCAAACAGAATGAAACAAAATAAGACAAAAGCAAGCTGGGTGCTCTGCCTCACTCGCACAAGGCCCAAGGTTCCATCCTGAGCACTGGACAATAAAAACAAGCAGAGGTAGGCATATTTCTGTGAGTTTCCAGGCCAGCCTGATGGTCTGCAGAGTGAGCTCCAGGCTAGCCTGATTGTCTGCAGAGTGAGCTCCAGGACAGCCAGGGCTAACATAGAGAAACTCCGGCGAGTGGAGGGGGTGGGGTTGGAGTGGGTGTGGGTGTGGATGTGGGTGTGGGGTAAGCTTCCTAAGTTGCCTTTGGGCACCAGCCTTTTCTTTTTAACTTATTTATTTATTATCGTGTACATATGACCATGGAATGTATTTGTGGGAGGTGCCCATCACAAGGTGTGGGGAAGTCAGAGACAATTTTGATCAGACCTGTTCTTTCATATTTACTCGGGTTCTGGGGATTGTTCATAGGTCTTCAAGTATACACTGAGCCTTCTTATCCAACGATTTATTTAAGATTTGTTTTTATTATTTTGTTTTGTGTATGTGCTCATGTCTTTCTGTGTTTTCACATGTAAGTACAGGTGCCTGAGAAGTCAGATTGTCCTGCACTTGGAGTTATAGGTGACTGAACTCAAGTCTTCTTTAAGAGGAGTATGGGTTTTTGTTTTTTAACCAC